TGAAGCTTGTTTTTTTGGTGCAGCGTGGTGTGTAAATCCATCTCAAGAAAGCCAGCATATTGATTTGATTGTATTTTGAGGCAAAAAAGTACAGTCTGAAAATAAACTTATGGTAGGCTTACAAATCCTGTCTTGTTTTACCCATAGCTCATTTGTATATCTGTATAGCAATCTTCACCTGCATCTGGATTTACCAGTCTACTTTTTGTGGGTGTTTATGCATTTAAACAAAATGCCTGGTAGACGTAAGAGGTGTTGATGTTCTTTTCTCCAATAGGGTGTCTTAGGTTTACCTGGAAGACAAGGTCAGCCTGGAATGAAAGGGGAACAGGTCAGTGCCCCCCAAAGTGCTTTGAAGACCCCACCTCCCTTCCTTTTTCTTTCCTAGTTTGCAAGCAGACACTGGTCTCTTTCACCTGGCATGGCGATCCTAAACTTCAGTGGGTACCTTTTAATTGCTTTCTGCTGTAAGCAACAATCTGATCAATTCTCTTCTGCCCTCAGGGAAATCCAACTTAGCTTATTCATTTTCTGTGGTGGCACTGCAGACACAGAAGTCAAGAGTCTCTTTCTGAAGTGATTCTAAAATCACTTCAGGGAATGATGGAAAGAGATGCATGTTTCTCACTAAATATGTGGACCAACTCTAACTGATTCATCTTCTGCATGTCTCCCTTGTGTTTATAGGCAGACCTTCTCATTTCTTTGCTTATGAGTAGATCTTTACAAGCAGTCTATTACTTATAAGAAGACTTCCTTGTATTGAATCCATTTTCCTTTTTCCATGCAGCCCTCTTTGTTCCCTAGTTCAAGAACCCCATTTCTGTCTCTCACAGTTCTGAAATCGACATCCTCTTTCCCTTGGTCCTATGCTTACTTCCCAAGCATTTCTATCCATACCTTTCAGGCCAAAAATCTTTTGCCATTTACAACAGCAGCCATTTCCCCCAAAATAGGAAGTGAAGCTAGGCCTGACTGTGGGATGGCCCAGAAAAATAGGCTCCCCCACCCCTATTATTCAGACATATCAGAGGGGGGGGGGGGGGGAAAAGTCACCAATGTTTTCTAATTTTCCCCCCTTTTGGATTGATATCTCTAGCCAGACCTGCAGTACCTTCTATTATTGCTGTTGAGGATGGTAAGGTTATGGTTTAGCTGTTGTCAGTATTATTCCTTTCCAGGGTGACAGAGGAGCCCCAGGGGATCCAGGCATCAAGGGAAGTCTTGGAGAAACCGGAGAAAGGGGCTCCAAAGGGCCACCTGGGGAATTTGGAGATCGTGGGAAAGAGGTAGTTGCACAACATTATGTGAGGGTTTCTCAGGCGGGTTTAGAAGAAGGTGGCTTGGCTTTGCCCCTAGGAAAGAGGAGCAAAGCCTAAGCCACCCAGAAGTTCATCCAGGTACATTTTTGAGCTGTGCTTGGCATCTCCTGTCATCCTCCGTTTCTTAGCATGTGCTTTTCCTCCACAGGGTGATGCTGGGGATCCTGGAGACCCAGGCCAGCTGGGAACCAAGGGAGAAAAGGTGCCGAGGAGGAGTTCTGGGCTGATATTTTTGTGTTCACATTCAAGTTCAAATTCTTTGGAGGAGCTGGAACAAAACTGTGTCTAGAGTAGGATTGAGTAAAGAATGTTTTTTTTCTTAAGATATGGGCCAATATGCACATACAGACCCATCAGTGAAACTAACTGAAGCTGGGGCGCTTTGATCTGGAAACGTTTGCTTCTAAAATGGGTGACATTTGGAGAACATCTTTACTTTTGTGACAAATCTGATCTTCATCTTGTTTATAGGGGGATTATAATATCAGAGGGGATTTTTAAAAATTATTTTTCGGTAACATGGCCACAGAGCAGTTGAAAAAAAAATTATCATGTCTTCCCCTTCCACTTATCTGTCCTTCTTCCTGTGGCAGCTGATACATATATAGTCAAAACAGTACCATCTCTACAGAAGAAAGAGGCATCAGAAAACTGGACGTGGGTTCTGGTTTCCAGAAATACAAAGATCATTAGAATTTTATTTTAAAAAGGTGGTGGTGGGGAGGTCTCAAAACTCACAAAACTGAATATTGTAGTAACAAAATGCTATGTAAAACCTGGGAGGGAGGAAAGTGGGAACCAAAAACTATAAAAGAGAGGAAATGGAATGGGATATCAGGATCAAGTGAATAGGACCACAGCAGCGTTTTACACTACAGTGTTCTGTTGCTGGTCCAAGTGAAGGTTAGTCTTCAAGAGTAACATATGGATAGTTGGCTCGATTGGGTGATAACAGAATATCTGGATCAGACTTCCAGGTCCTTGGGTGTTCTTTCCCACATTTTGAAGTGTTCCTCCCCCCTCCTCACATTCTTCCTGGAACAGGGCAGCACTGGCACCAGAGGACTTTCTGGTTGGCCTGGGCCAGCTGGGATCCCGGGCAACGTTGGCCAAAAAGGCCTCAAAGGAGAAAAGGGTCAAGAAGGTTTTCTGGCAAGTACAAACCTGACATCTGACTTATCTCCTCCTGACTTTTGGTTGTCTTCTAACTAGCCTCTCAGTTTTGCACAACTAAAACAGTAGAACATGATGAGCAATTCTTGTGCTGGATTGAGCACCTAGACTTGGGGTGGGGAAGATCTTACCTTTTTTGCAGAGTTGTAGGGAAGACAGAAGGGGACTCTCCCCCACTCTCATGTAGCTTGGAGTTCCTTTGAAAAAACAAGACTGTAACCTTTAAAACACCCATTCCCCAAGTGTAGGAAGGTGGATATGCCTGGAATTTTTCTCTGGGACCCATCAAAAGATTTGTGAGAGTTTTGTAGCCACCAGAGGGCACTTGCACTCCAGCATATTGAGGTTATAGGTATCATAAAAGCGTGCAGATTACCCCAGATCCAATTTAGTTCACACCAGTCAACCTGGGCATCCAATTCAATTGGGTTAAGAAAGAGTGATGGATTTCTAGGTTCCTGGCTTTGCTCAGTGTGTTGAATTGATTTAGAGGTTTCATCTGAAACAGGGTTTTTGAATCAATGCTTCACATGGCCCTTAAAGCCTCTGGTGATGATGGGCTTTTCTAGGGGGAAGAAAGATAACCCACCAAATTGTATCTCCAGAGAGGCTGTCCTTTTGAAAAAAAACTAATTCTCTCTCTCTTGTTTTTTTCCTCCTACAGGGACAAGTTGGCATAATTGGCATGCCTGGTGCAGGAGGAATCAGAGGACGTCAGGTAGGGCATAATGCGGTGTTCTGGATTGCTTATAAAGCCCCTCCCATCCTGCGAAGATTCTTCTACGTTCTCCTGCACTTGGATGCACCATACCATAACATTGTCCCTTTCTTGATTCTTCCACCCCTTGTCACCTCTGGGTCGTAACAATGCCTGAGCATCGTTTCATCATTTGGACACATAGCATGTGTGGGTGGGTGGGGCAAAGGGAAGGTTGGCGTGACCATAGTGGAAAGTGGTGTATCCAGATCTACTTGGACCACATCTTCCTTCTTAAACCCTATCTTAATTTTGATTTACCTGGGGATTGACACCAGCAACAGCGAATGCCAAGGTCATCTCTCAGAGGAAGGTTCACAAAATACACTTAAACCCTTGATAACAAGATGCAGTGGCTCTGTGTGCAGGATAGGAGATTCTCTTCAAAATCTTTTATGGCTTTACAGAGTGGCTTAATTAAAATACTAAGAGAAAGGCTGGGTTTCCTACAATGCACTGATCTACAAAGCCCACCCATTTTCAGCATAGTCCATGAGTCCCTAAATGGCAAGAACTGGGGCCACATAATAAGTCTTGAGGTTGGATGGGTGGGACACAGGCGATTCCCTCATCGTCAAGTTGTAGGTCAATATTTTGAAGCCTACTATTGAATAGCACCAAACCAGAAGGCTGGTTTTGGGGTAAAGATGCATTCTGTTTTTTGGTTACAGGGTGAAGCAGGAAGCTGGGGAATTTCTGGACCAGAAGGTCTTAAAGGGCCAAAGGTATAGAAGCCATCAAAACGTCTAAAAGAAACTCTTCTGTTCTTCATTTCTTGGCAGTGACTGTGGGTAGAGAGAAGAATTGTATTAATTCTGGAGGAAAGGAATATTGTCCTCTGTCGATAGAGGAAACTGCTTCTTTTTTAATCACTAGGTTACTGCTTTCCAAATAACCCCTTAGATTCTTCCTCAGTCACACATTAGATTGGAATTTCTCCAAACTTGTGTCCTCCAGCTCCAGTATTGGAACTGCTCTTCCCAGAACTTCCATGCCGATGAAGCATGCGGGAAGTTGCAATCCCAACACATCTGGAGCAAAGCCAGTAAGAGGAGGAGGCTGGCTTGGACTGGAGTCTTTGTGGGGTGCGCAACATGTATGATACTCTCGGCTTAGCGCCTTGTTCACTGCAAAACGTATCTGAAAGCGCGGCTGCAAGACATTAAAGCAATTTAAAGCACTGTAGAATATCTACCATGCTTTTTTTCAGGGAAATCCAGGTCTTCAGGGCATGAATGGGCCAAAGGGCACAGTTGGCATGATGGTAAGTTGTGACAAACTGAGCATTTGAATCTCTTCCTTGGTTTTCTTCATTGGAACATTGTGGTTTTCACCCACAAGTCCTGCTATAGGTTAAAAATGCAGTATGTTGAAGTCAGCCTAATCCAAAAGTTATTTTTTTTTTAATTAGTCCCAGTTGCCTTTGCCCAGTAGGAGGAACAGAATTCTGATCCATAACCTTCTTTACACTTTTCCAGAACCAAAGGATTGCTCAGCAGAATCAAGAATCTGAAACTTTTATGTGGCCAAACATGGCTTGAAGGGAGGATGAATCTAAATGAAAACAGTATTCCCACTGATCTTTTGCAGGGTTCCCCAGGAGAAAATGGGAAGAAGGGTGATCAGGGACCACCTGGACTTTTGGTAAGTGCTAACCAACTCTGATTCATCATTTAGATTTTTTTAAGGTTAGAAATAACAGTGGAGACTGTTAGGGAAATGATCTTTGCTGTCAAGCTGGGTTCCTAATGGAGAAGGAAATGGTAGGTGCCCCCTTTATGAGGTTGGCTCATTTTTTAATGGAAAGTGTTATGATTTGGTATCATGATGCCCTGTGGTTTCCTTGTGTGTTGTGTTGCAGGGTTCATCAGGCCCTGTAGGTCCCAAAGGAATTCAGGGACCTCAAGGTCTTGATGGCCAGAAAGGAGAACAAGGAATGCCAGGAGAGAAAGGAGCTGGTGGGCAGCAGGTATGTATCAGCTCTGTTGGTTGAACACGGTTGGGTTTGGCCACCTTTATTACATTGGCTGGGCACTCTTCTCCGCAAGCTGGCTTTTGCTAAATGGTTAGAAACTAAACAGTAGAGTCTTCTCCTTTAGCTACTTATCCCACAACATAACCAAGTCTTCAAGGCTTTATGAAAGGCCAACAAGGTTGGGACTAATCTGATGTCCAGGGAGATGATGCTCCAAAGGGCAGAAGCCATGACAGAAAAGGCTCTCTTCTTGGATGGATGCTGCTAAATGCTGCAAAATATAATTTCAGCACGCACAGAGCTCAAACAGACTATTTGTTTAAAACATTTGTATGGCCACCCGTCGTCAAACCAAACTCTGGGTGGCTTACAATCCAGCAATAAAAACAATCTATACAACTAAAACAAAAACAGTAAAGCCCAAAACAGAAAAACCTGGTGCCACAACCGCACTTCACCAATGCAACCCTTCACATTCTCATCCTGCTCTGCTGACTGCAAAGCATAGAATGTCTGGTTTGAAACTGTCCATCCTCTTTTGTAGAAGCTCAAGTTCATATGCATCTGTTTTCTCTTCTTCTGGTTATAGGGCAATGCTGGGCCACCAGGTCAAAATGGAATGCCTGGACAAGGGGGGGTGGATGTAAGTAGATTTTACCTGCAGCTTTTCCCCCCTCCGGTTGGGAGAACTTTTAATTGGAGATGCACTTGAGGCCATCAAAATGCTTTCAATAAACTGCTGGGCTTCAGTTACAACCCTATCTTTCCTCTCCATGGAAGTGGGCACTGCCAAGCTCAGTGGGGTCTTCAGTAGACCTATACATCAGATTGCTCTTAAACCCTGGTTCTCATTTTAGGGCCCTCCAGGTGAAAAAGGGGAACCTGGACCCACAGGAGACTCTGGTCCCCAGGTAAAGTACCTAGATTAGTCATCATAACACCTTTAGCTTTTTACATCTGTTTTTTTCCCCCCCTTTCTCAGCCCAGACACACCGAAAAGCCATTGTCCCCAGAGGAGGGGAGAGGTTGACAAGCTTTGTCAGACTTTTCAAATGTGACTAAATTCCACAAAGACTGTCATAAAAGAGCCCGGCATGATTGTCTGTACAATTCCAAAATGCATTTCCTGCTTTGCCAGGCTGATGTTGCCCGTGCGGACAGCCTTGAAAGGTATTCTCTTAAATGAGCTGCCCTTGATGTAGCTCCCTTAGTACTTCTTGCAGAAATAAAAAGAAGATCCATTCCTCCAGAGGAATCGTAGGGCTCGGCTAGTTTGTAAGAGGGAATATCTCCTCATTTGAGATTTGTTTACAAATAAGACTTAGACCTTGTGGCTGTCATCTCTGTGTTTTAGGGGGCTCCAGGACCACCAGGTTTAGCTGGTCAGAAAGGATACAAAGGGACAAAGGTATTTATCAACCACCGTTTTGAAATGCTTTTGAAATTGTTCTGGCGTTTTTCTTAAATGGGGAAAATCTGTCTGTAGCCAGATTTTATTTCCTCCTTGGAATCCTTTCTTTAGAAATGCAGAAGAATGGGTTTTTTTCCCTCTCTCACCCCACCCAAAAGAAAGGTATGGGTCTTTTAAAACAGTGGTCCATATTCGACAGAGAGGTTTCTTTCAATCTTCACTTGTTCTTCTCTTCCCTAGGGTGTACAAGGGCATCATGGGAGAATCGGGGACCTGGGTAAAGCTGGCAGAAGGGTAAGAGACTACACATTTTTCTCCCAAGCAGCCATCTTGGTCTGAGACAGTCTGTTACTTGAGGTCGAGAGGGTGCCTCCTCTTACTCCATGGGCTAAAGCTAATTGTAGTCAAAGTTGGGTCATTCTCTAATTCTGGGAGAAGAGCATTCTCCACTGCAGCCAGACCATGCTTGGCTCTTTACTCCAAGCACAAGGTGTCGCCCTTCCACCCGAAGCCACTCACTCTGCCTCCTAGATGAGATAAGAAAAATCGGAGTTAGTGTTGCTCCGTGAACAGAAGTCTAGCCGATGGGAGAAAGAAGCTGCATCTTTCTCCCCGTGGGATTGTCTTCTGCAGGATCAGAGTGTGCTCTGAGGAGCACTTGCTCATTTGGCCAGCAAACAGGGAAGTCTTTGGTGCAGGCAAACTGAACTGGTGGCCTTGCTGAGGTTCTAATGCTGAGGATTGTTCTCGGTTTTATGGCACCAGGGAAAGAAAGATAAGCTGAAAGGTGGGGGAGTTGTGGGAAGATGGGTAGACATATTTTTGTGTGTGTGTCCCAGGGCAAGCGTGGTAAAGCTGGTCTTCGATCTCCAAGAGGTTCCAGAGGACACAAGGTAGGTAAAGTTCCTTGTGACCTTCTTTCACTGGCCTGTGAGGCTTACATAGCAAGCTAAAACCTGCTTTGTTCTGCCCCCAACCTGCAAACCACAATGACTGCTCCTAGCTGAAAAACTGGTTGGAGTTTATGATGCCTGATGCGAGTCACAGGAGTTTCTCTCTTTTCCAGGGTTCTCCAGGTGAAAAGGGTCTCCAAGGTCTCAGTGGATCCCCTGGCATTTCTGTGAGTCTGGCATGAATGCAAGGGGCAGATCCTTTGTTCTTCTCCTTCCTAGGCTCAAAAAGCTTTCAGCCACACCCACACAAAAACCTTCTTCATTTGCCATGCTAAAATTGAACTGATGTCACCGACAGGGAGGGAGCATTTTAGGGTGGGAAAGGAGAACTTTTGCAATGTGGAGAGTGCCAGCCACCCACCCAAGGTCCTTTGATGGGACAGGACTTTCCATTCATGCCCGTCCTTCCAACAGACTCCAGAGTTCTAGAACACCAATATGGGAAGTGCAACTTTCAGTATTTTTCTGAATGATTTTTTTTTCCTGCTTCAGCAATCTTTTTTCTCAATCTGCTGACACTTTCCCTCTAGTGTTCTAGTGCCTGTAGTCCAATCCTGGCTACCTTACTCTCTTAGCACCAGAATTCCCTCCTTCCTTCCTTCCTTCCTTCCTTCCTTCCTTCCTTCCTTCCTTCCTTCCTTCCTTCCTTCCTTCCTT